GAATCCCCTGGCACCTGCACCTTCCCTTAGCCCTGCACTCTCCTGGTGCCTCCCCCTTCCCTTACTGCCCCTGCCCCCTTTGCCCTCGCTTTCCCTGATACCCACCCCCTCAGCACTGTCTGCCCCATCCCCTCCTGCCCCTCTGTGCCCTCACACATGACCTGCTCCATCCCCACCTCTCTCATGCCCACCCCTTCTGTCAAGCCTTCTCCCAGCACCTCCTCCTCCAGCCCCCAATGCCCTTCCCCTCTCCTTTCCTCTCCCAGCATCACCCTGTCCCCCCTCCCACTGACACCGCCCCTCCTGCCTTTTCCCTCATTGTCTGCACTTGGCCCCCTGGCATTTGTCTCTCTCTCCTGCACCCAGTCCCTTGGTGCCTTCCCCTCCCAAGCCCCTTCTCCTTCCACTCCTCCCCCTCCGCGCAAGCCCGCCGCTGCCGCCTCCGCCCATGCCTGTTCCCTACCTTCTGCCTTCCACATTGCGGGGCCGGAGGCCGCCGGAGCCAGCATGGCCCCGCCACGTGCCTCCGAAGACTTTTAAAATCCCGGGCCGTGACGTCACGTCACGCCCAGGCGTCCTCCCCACCCACGTGCAATGCCGCACATGGGCAGCAGCAGGCGGTGAGGAGGAGCTGGGGAGGGGAGGGAATGGACGGGATAGGAAGGAGGAAATAGCGGCTCTTACGTTTCATGAAGCTGAATTGCAACAATTAATATTCATTTGTCACCAACTGTTGACAAGAAACTTCCACTGGCCAAATACGAAGCTGTCCGCTTCGTCCAATCCCTCTTAATTTGATCCTCCATTTAATTAGCGCCAAACCTCTGGCACCAAGTGATGCAAGAACGTCTACCCGTAGCGCATCGATCAGTGCTGATTACAGTGGTCCAGACAATTCAATTGGGGCTTAGGAAAGTATCCCTTTAATGAGAAGACTCGCGAGGCCAGGAAGAAACTGTGCTGGTGGGGGATTTCAGCCGCCCTGGCGGTTGTAAGCAGGGCAAAGCGCTTTGTGCGAGTTGAGGGTGGGGGGAACAGTCGCTGGGTGGGTGAAATTCAGCCACCGTGCTAAAAGTGTGGGGCTGAGACTTGAGACGCTTGCGTTCAGTCCCCCCTGTTCCCGGGTGTGACCGTGTGCATCTCCCTCGGGGCGTGTACACTGGTTCCGAGGGTATGGGGGGGGGCCTTCCTCCCTCACTGTAATAAATTCACCTCTCTGAGAGGCGGTAGCTAGGCTGATGGATGAATTTGTCCATTGGCCTACCGGGGTCTACCCGGGGGCGGGTACATCTGCGTAAATATGTTGCCCAGGTTGGGTTTTTTCCCACAGCTCTGTAGTTAATTGGACCTAACTGGGTTGCTAGGTGTTGGGTATGGGGGGGGGCCTTCCTCCCTCACTGTAATAAATTCACCTCTCTGAGAGGCGGTAGCTAGGCTGATGGATGAATTTGTCCATTGGCCTACCGGGGTCTACCCGGGGGCGGGTACATCTGCGTAAATATGTTGCCCAGGTTGGGTTTTTTCCCACAGCTCTGTAGTTAATTGGACCTAACTGGGTTGCTAGGTGTTTGGGTGCTGCTGGGGTGGGGGAGCCTGGAACAAGGGGGAAGGTCCCCCCTCCGATTTTCTTCTGCCCTCGCGCAGCTGCCATGGCAAAGCGGAGGAGTGCATTGGCCTGTGCCGGGCCCTGATGAGCGCCCTCAACTGGATGCTGCGCTGTGCGGCCTTCTACGTGGAGAAGGTCAAAGAGCTGCTGGACCAGGCGGGGGGGGAGAGCCAGCTGAAGATGTGCCTGGAGCGGCTGGAGAAGGTGGTGGGCAGCACGAAAAACCGGGCCCTGATTCACATCGGCAAGCTGGAGGAGACGTGTACGTCGCTGGGCCCCTCGCCGGGGGGGCTGCGTCCCTCCCACCCCATCCCCTCGGCTTGTCTGGCTGGCGGCTCTGCCCTGGCCAAGCCTGAGCTCCCGAATTTCCTCCCTGTTTGCTGTCGCCACCATCCTTTCCGTCATCGGGGCAGGGGGGCACGTCTTTGCCTCCTCCTCTCCTTATCCCGCTTGGCCGCACCCTGCCATCCCCCGCCAGGGCTTTCTCTGTCCCTGCAGTTCAAACAGCCGGGCACCCGCTGCGGCCTCTGGCGTGGGACCCATGCAGCCTGCCCCGTGGCCCCCGGAGGCGGAGTGGCCGTGGTGCGAAGACTGCTGCAGACGCGCTCTGTTGCCCTGCCTGGGGAGGGTGCTGTGCAAAGCCAAGCTGCAGCTGGGGGCAGGGCAGATCTCTGCTGGGATTTCCACGGGCACCTGTGGGCGTCTGGCACCTGATTCCCATTGCGGCTGGACAGTGGGCAAATCCCAGCCCCGTCTGGCCCTCTCAGCAGTGCCGACCTGCCTGGAGTCTCATGGGCTCCCTGGGGTGCCTGCATTGAAAATAATCCGCCCCTCCCCCCGCCTCCTTTCCTTCCAGCTTCGTGGAGCGCCGTGGAGCAGTCGCTGCTCAAGCTGGGGGAGAACCTCGGCAACCTCAGCAACCCCCAGCTCCGGAGCCAGGCGGACGAGTGCATCTCCCTGATCAAGAGGTAGATCGTGGGCTTGGGGCGAGGTGCTGGGCCAGCGAGGGTGGCCCCGGGGCTCCCATTGGCACATCCCAGGGACTCACTGTGGATGCCAGTTGGCTCCGCTCCTGTCTGTGGTTGCGTCCCTGCTCCTCTGCTGAAGGCCACAAGAAACCCAAGAGGTGGGTGAGCCTGGTGCTCCCTCCAGCCATCTCCTGTGCCCGTTGGCCTCAGTGTGCAGCCTGCCCTGCCCCTCTCCCGGCCTCGGACCCGATGGGGCGGGTGGGAGCTGGCAGGGCGGAGGGTAGATGGGACTCAATCACGCCCCAGGCAGCCACCACCCCTCCCAAGGGCTGGAAGGCCCCCCCTTCTCCAGCAGCCCTTCCCTCTTTAGCTTTCCGGCCTTGTCTGCTTGGGGATAACACCCACACAGGCCCTGCTCTGAGTGGCCATGCAGGGAGCTGTCCTGGGACAGCCAGAGTCCTTTAACCTCACAGCCGGCCTTATTCCGGACTGACTGCCCCATGTGGACCAGCCCTAGGAGTGGCCAGAGCCAGGTGTTAATCGCCAGAGACCCGGCCAGTGCCCAAGGGTTCATCTTGCTAACCAGAGGACTGGCTCAGCTGACCCAGACGTGGCAGCAGTGTAGGGCAGGTTCAAACCAGTTACCTTCGGCTCTGGCTGGGTGTCGGGCCTCCCCCACCATCACCCGAGCCCCCTGCCCGGTTGCCACTGTCCTCCTCTTGCAGCATTCCCACCATGCTCTCAGCCCACTCCGAGCAGCTGAACAAAACTGGCTTCCCCACCGTGCACGCCGTGGTGCTGCTGGAGGGAACCATGAACCTCACGGGGGAGACCCACCCTCTTGTGGAGCAGCTGATGATGGTGAAGCGGATGCAGGTACAGCAGCTTGTCTGCTCCCTGTCCTGGGCGAGTCCTGAGGCAGTGTGGCCTAGCAGGGGCAGGGAGCCAGCCTCGCGGAGCTCCCGTCCCAGCTGTGGTGCTGTCTGTCTGTGGCCTTGTCAGGTCCCTTCCCGACGTGACGTCTGGCTTGCACAAGGCCGGCCTCCGATCTCGCCCCAAAGTGCAGGGACGTGCGACTCCCTCCCGCTCCAGTTTAGGGTTCACTGGCCTTCAGCATCACGCCCCGGGCGTGCACCACAGCCTTGCACCACAGTGGGAACTGGGTTAAGAACGTAAGAACGGCCACGCTGGGTCAGACCAAAGGTCCATTTAGCCCAGTATCCCGTCTGCCGACAGTGGCCAAGGCCAGATGCCCCAGAGGGAGGGATGACAACAGGGAATCCTCACGTGATCCCTCTCCTGTCACCCATTTACAGAGAAAGAGGCCTGGGACACCGTTCCTACCATCCTGGCTAATAGCCATTGATGGACCTAACCTCCATGAATCTATCTAGCTCTTTTTTGAACCCTGTCAAAATCCTAGCCTTTACCGCATCCTCTGGCGAGGAGTTCCACAGGTAGACTGTGCACTGAGTGAAGAAAAACTTCCTTTTGTTTGTTTTAAACCTGTTGCTTATTCATTTCATTTGGTGACCCCTAGTTCTTATACTGTGGGAATACGTAAATAACTTTTCCTTATTCACTTTCTCCACACCAGTCATGATTTTATAGACCTCTATCCTATCCCCCCTTAGTTTCCTCTTTTCTAAGCTCAGAAGTCCAAGTCTTTTTAATCTCTCTTCATATGGGCACCGTTCCAAACCCCGAATCATTTTTGTTGGGCACCAGTTAACTGGTTCCCCAGATAAGCATGCTGGTAAGGCGAGGCTTCCCGGGTCATCGGTTACCCCTTTACGTCCCTAGTCCAGTTGCGTGTGGCCTGCATTAGTGCCGGGTGGAGCTCTTCCCTGCTCTGGTGGCTGGTCCGGGTCGGAGTCTGCTTTCACCTCTGGGGGACGGGGTTGGTCCTCCGGCTCATGTGGCAGAGGCACCTGCCTTTAGATCAAGAGGCTCCAGGTTCGATCCCTGCTGACAGCCCGTGGGGATGGGGGAGTGGCACATGCTGGACTTTCCGAGCCTGAGAGCTGTTCCGTTGCATTGGCAGCGCATTCCCTCGCCGCTCTTTGTGCTGGAGATCTGGAAAGCCTGCTTTGTGGGCCTGATCGAGTCCCCCGAGGGCACGGAGGAGCTGAAGTGGACGGCTTTCACCTTCCTTAAGGTAACGCCCATCCTGCGCCCCGTCCCTGCCACGAGCCTGAGGTCTCGCCGCCCTGCCGGCCCGAGGTAGAGCAATTCCCCCTCTTGCAGTGGAATCGCAGGCTGAGCCCGCAGGCAGCATCCCGTGACCCCAAGCAACCAAGCGTTTGTCCAGGGCTTGTTCACACCGCTGGTCTTGGCTTGATGGAGAGCCTGCGCCCTTCCAGGACGGGGCAGGGGCCT